GGGACCCTACGAGGGATATACATTGAAGGCCCCAGGAAGGGGAGATAGTTAAAGATGTCCTGGGAAAACTAGGAGGGGGTGAGAAGGGAGAGTATGGTGGATGGGAACATGATGGATTGAGATGGTAGAGTTGGGGAAAGGATGGAGGTGGAGAGTAATGAAAGGGATACCTTGATAGAGGGAGGCATTGTGGGGTCAGGGAGACCTGTGACTAGGGAAATTCCCAGGAATCCACAAGGATGACCCCAGCTAAGACTCTTGGCAGTAGTGGAGATGTTGCCTTAACTGGCATTCCCCTTTAACCAGATTAGGGACCACTATAATTGTCATCATAGAACCTACAGCCATTAACTGATGGAGGCAGATACAGTGATCTACAGCCAAAGCACTAGACTGAATTCCTGGAGTTCAGTTGAAGAGAGGGAGGAGGAATATATGAGCAAGTTGTGTGTGTGTGGGGGGGCATCAAAATCATGATTGGGAAAACCACAGAGGCAGAAAGATCTCTGTTAGTTTAAGACTAGCCTGGTCTACAAGAGCGATTTCCAGGACAGCCTCCAAAGCCACAGAGAAACCCTGCCTCACCCTCCCACCCCCAAACCTCATGGTTGATTTAATGAAAAATCTCCTAGACAGGATGATGCATTTAAACATGTGTCTCTCTTTTGTGAATTTCTTTGGATTGCTTCTGAAACCTTTCTTAGGAGGAGCCTTTCTGGGTGAAATTCCTTATTGGGGGTGTGACATCAGTCTCTATAGCTTCAACCCATTTCCTGTTCTTTGTGTCTACTGTGATGTGTTTGAAACCAATCAGCCAGCTTCCTTCTTGTGCTGTCATGCCTTCACCACCCATATACACTCTGTCTCTAAATCACATAAGGTACAGTAGAAACAATTGCTATTCAGTGCTAAGGCAGTGTGATAGCCCGCTGTTTTAATTTTTTGTTTGTTTTTGAAGACAAGGTTTGTCTGTGTAGCTCTGGCTGTCCTGAAAGTAGCTCTGTACACCAGGCTGGCCTCAAAATTAGAGAGCCCCCTGTCTCATAGTCCCAAGTCCTGGGATTAAAGGTGGGCCAACATTCCTGGCTATTTTTGTTTTTTATTATTGGGTGATGGGCCTGGAATGTAGGTTTTTGTACATGTCAAACATATGTTGCTGTACTGAGCTTCACCCATATTTTGAATTTTAAAATTTAGTAGAGGATATCATTCTGTTTCCCAGGATGGTTTATATTCATGATATTAATACTGCCTGAGCCTTTTGAGTCATTGGATTGCAGGTGCATGACCGAGCTTCTTCTTGCCTGTTGTGTTTGTTTTGAAAAATGTTTAATGAATGTATTTTACCTGTATGCATGGATATGCACTACATGGGTACCTGGTCCTCATGGTGATCAAAAGATGGTCTCAGAAATCCTGAACTTGGAATAATAGATAATTGTGATCCCAGTGTAAGTACTGGCAATTGATCCCACCTATATGCAAGACCAGCAAGAACTCTTTCCTACTGAGCCATCTCTCCTACCCTGTGTTGATTATTTATGGTTGATATTTATATTGGTAATGTTTTCTTCTGTTCATTTGTAGCTTGTTAAATACGCAGTGCCTTTTAGTAAAATCTTATTGATGTTACAGTTTAAATTAGGGCACGTCTGGTTCCTGGAAGATGAATACAGAAATGGAGTGAATACATAATTTTTTGTAGGAACTTCAATACATAACTTCTGAGTTCTTTGTATCTTTTGTGTTTGTTTGACCAATTTTTGAACAGAAAACAGGATCACAATATGTTCTTTTGGCTGTCCTGGATCTGATTGCATAGACTAGGCTGATACTCCACTCAGAGGTAAATGCACTTGACTCTGCCTTCTGAGTGCTTGGTTTAAAGGTGTGAGCCAATATACCCAACTTGTACATCTTATTTTTCTTTTTTGTAGTTAGTAATTGTTCATATAATTTATCTCATGTGTACTCTGTACTGTTGATCTATTTACTTGTCTCTTTATGTTTGTTAATAGTCATTTCTCTTTCAAGGTGATATTTGATTCGAAAGGTAGAGAAATGACAGAAGTAAACCTTCTATTCAGTGTCCTTCTAAAGCAACTTGGTGATTACATTATAATGTCTATGTCATTGAATAAGTGTGGGTAGCAACGGAATTATATGACTAAACTGTCAAAGAAGTATACATTTACAATGTTGACAGTTTCATGTTTTCTGTTGTACACATGTATGGAATATTTTAGAATGCAGTGACCTATGATGATGTGCATATCAACTTTACTTGGGAAGAATGGACTTTGATGGATCCTTCTCAGAAGAATCTCTATAAAGATGTGATGCTGGAGACCTACAGGAACCTCACTACTATAGGTAAGACTGACTTTTCATTCATGTTTTAAATAAGGGAACAACTATTCCTTGGTTATTGATGCTCTTCTGTAATTTGATTGAGAAAGAAGAATGAGGTGAATAAATTAGGCATGGTTCTAAGGTTCACTGAACATGGTAACTTAAATTTTGTATAAGTTTCAATAATATAACATACATTTTCTGGTACTACATTGTAGGATACAGTTGGGAAGACCATCATCATACTGAAGAATATTATCAAAGTTCTAGAAGATATGAAAGGTAATTTTCATGTGCAAGATGACACAAATGCGCCTCTGAACAAATTGTAATATAGAAGTTTTATAAAAAAGCAATAGCATAAATAAGCACAGCTTAAAGTGAATTGATAATTATTTAATTCTCACACAATCATATACCTCAATTTCAGGTAGGTGAATTGCATTTGCATGGCATTCTTTTAAGAAGACAAGGAAACAATGCCTTAACAGATACCATTTGAAGTATAGCAGCATGAGAACTATGCTGTAGAACTTTCAATCCATATATTTCATACCACTCATATTACAAAAGATATATGCATTGAAGAGTAGATCTTCTTAACCTTCTAATGGGCAAATTGTACATAGTAAAGCTAATATTACTCATATACTTGTGACTATGCTAAGCTTAGTGTGGGGGCAGTTAGGATTAAGAGTCAGGGGGCAATTGTTATGGAGAAACTTTAATCCCTATTCAAGTCTATGAGGAACAGAAAGTCAAAATGTGAATTCAATGTGAAATTCTTCCTTTAATAGGTAAATCATATGCCAGTCTGGATAGAAGCCATATGAGCATAGGGATATGGAAAAATGTAATATGTCTCTCTCAGAGTAATTAGAAGTTATAGCTCAGTCCCCACTTTGAGTATACTTGTTTAATTTGATTCAATTGTAGAAGTAATTGGTTGTCCAGCTTCATTGTTAATACATCAACAAACTCATACTGCAGAAAGCCCTATGAGTCCTAGGACTGTGTAAACACTTCTGTTTGTCCTAGTTCACTTAGCAAATGTAGTATGACTCAAAGTATAGGAAAACTTATAAATGCAATAAGGGTGGTAAAGCTCTGGGTTTTTCCAGTTCTCTTTAAATATGTGAGAAATCTCATATAGAAAAAAGATTCTGTAAATGTGAGCATGTAATAAAGGATCTTACCACCACAGGCATCATCAAGAACGCAAAACAACATGAGTGTAAATACAGTGATAGAACTGTAAGATCTCATTCTTCTTTACAATTGGACAAAACTGTAAAATTAATCCATACAGATTTAAAGATTCAACAATGCATTGAATGTGGTAAAACTTTTACATGTGTCAATCATCCTTGCAGGAATGAAAGAAGTCAAACTGGAGAGAAAACTTCTGTATATACTCAATGTGTTAAAACCTTTGCACATGACACCCATCTTCAAAGGCATGAAACAACTCATACTGGAGAGAAACCCTATGAATGTAATCATTGTGGTAAAGTCTTTGCACGCCGCAGTAACCTGCAAATGCATGAAATGACACATACAGGAGAGAAACCCTTTGAGTGTGATCAGTGTGGTAAAGCCTTTGCACATCACCAAAGTCTCCTACTACATAAAAGAACCCACACTGGAGAGAAACCATATGAATGTAATCAGTGTGGTAAAGCCTTTGCACATCACCAAAGTCTCCGGCTACATAAAAGAACCCACACTGGAGAGAAACCCTTCGAATGTAATCAGTGTGGTAAAGCCTTTTCATTCCCCAGTCACCTGCAATTACATGAAAGGACACATACTGGAGAGAAACCCTATGCATGTAATCTGTGTTCTAAAGCCTTTGCTCATCGAAATGATCTTCAAAGGCATAAAAGAACGCATACTGGAGAGAAACCCTATGAATGTAATCAGTGTGGTAAAGCCTTTGCTCGTCACAGTACTCTTCAAAGGCATAAAAGAACGCATACTGGAGAAAAACCCAATAAATGTAATCAGTGTGGTAAAGCCTTTGCTCGTCACAGTGCTCTTCAAAGTCATAAAAGAACGCATACTGGAGAGAAACCCTATGAATGTAATCAGTGTGGTAAAGTCTTTGCAAGTCACAGTAGTCTTTATATGCATAAAAGAACCCATACTGGAGAGAAACCCCATGAATGTATTCAGTGTGGGAAAGCCTTTGCTCGTCACAGTGCTCTTCAAATGCATAAAAGAACCCATACTGGAGAGAAACCCTATAAATGTAATCAGTGTGGTAAAGCCTTTGCTCGTCAAAGTGCTCTTCAAATGCATAATAGAATCCACACTAGAGAGAAACCCTATGAATGCAATCAGTGTGGTAAAGATTTTGCACGACTCAGTCATCTGCAAATGCATGAAATGACACATACTGGAGAGAAACCCTATGAATGTAATCAGTGTGGTAAAGCCTTTGCACGTCACCATAGTCTCCGACAACATAAAAGAACCCACACTGGAGAGAAACCCTATGAATGTAATCAGTGTGGTAAAGCCTTTGCACGTCACCATAGTCTCCGACAACATAAAAGAACCCACACTGGAGAGAAACCCTATGAATGTAATCAGTGTGGTAAAGCCTTTGCACGTCACCATAGTCTCCGACAACATAAAAGAACCCACACTGGAGAGAAACCCTATGAATGTAATCAGTGTGGTAAAGCCTTTTCATTCCCCAGTCACCTGCAAATGCATGAAAGGACACATACTGGAGAGAAACCCTATGAATGTAATCAGTGCGGTAAAGCCTTTGCTCGTCACAGTACTCTTCAAAGGCATAAAAGAACCCATACTGGAGAGAAGCCCAATGAATGTAATCAGTGCGGTAAAGCCTTTGCTCGTCACAGTACTCTTCAAAGGCATAAAAGAACGCACACTGGAGAGAAACCCTATGAATGTGATCAATGTGGTAAAGCCTTTGCATGTCACAGTACTCTTTATATGCATAAAAGAACGCATACTGGAGAGAAACCCCATGAATGTAATCAGTGTGGTAAAGCCTTTGCTCGTCACAGTGCCCTTCAAATGCATAAAAGAACTCATACTGGAGAGAAACCCTATGAATGTAATCAGTGTGGTAAAGACTTTGCACGGTCCAGTCATCTGCAAATGCATGAAATGACACATGCTGGAGAGAAACCATATGAATGTAATCAGTGTGGTAAAGCTTTTTCATTCCCCAGTCATCTTCAAATACATGAAAGGACACATACTGGAGAGAAACCCTATGAATGTAATCAGTGTTCTAAAGCCTTTGCTTGTCACAGTCATCTTCAAAGGCATAAAAGAACCCATACTGGAGAGAAACCCTTTGAATGTAATCAGTAGTCTTCAAAAATCATGAGAGAATGTCCATCCTGCAGAGAATCTATATAAATGTAACCAGCGTGGCAAAGTTTTGCACTTTATACATGAGTAAAACTTTTTGTGTGAAATCAATCTGTTAATACCTTTGCATATTACAGTAGTCTTGGAGTACCTGAAAAAGATATGGAGGGCTCCTTATTATAAAGAATTTGGTAAGATCTTTTGCCAATACGCTTACATTCAGTTAAACAAGAGTGTTTATTATGTAGAAAAGAATTAGACAGTGTGGGCGATCTATTCAAGCATTAGGATGACTCTTTTTATATTGTTTGCATGAGCGAACTCATGGGAAAAAATGAACTTAAGAATTTATGAATCTCTATATGTAGGGTAAAAGAGCCAGCCAAAGAAACACACTGACCCTGAAATCAGAGCAAGTGAAAGACACAAACTTTGGCCGTGAATCCAGAGCCAGTGAAAGAAACACTTTGGCTCTGAAACCAGATCCAAAAGACTAAAACAAACAAACAAACAAAAGGACCACTGAAAAAAAACACACTTTGGCCTTGAAACCAGAGCCAAAGAAACACATTCTACCCTTGACAAACTGAGCACAAAACCAACCATTCCCTGATAATGAAATACGGCCAATCTCAGGTTCTTTAAGCTCAGTGATTTAAATCCTACCATCCCACTCTGAAAATCTCCAAGGAAAAACTGCCCATAAGAAATACTATATAAAAGTCCTGTGTCTGTTCAGTGGCAGAGGGCCTTTTCCACCTTGACAGACGCAGCCACTTTCCTGGATTCCTCTTTTCCAACTAAATCTCTTGAATCAGAGTTTGGGATGAAGACTTTCATTCACCGTCTTGGAGCAGAAACTCTGTAGTAGAGTGGAGAAGAGAAGCAAGGACACCTCTGCTGGGAAACTCCCTTAGGGAGTAAAACAGAGGTAACAACTTTTTGCTGGAGTCAGAGCACTGCTACATTTCTGCAGTGGTTTCCCTCTTAGTTAATTGAAGCAAAAGAGTACCAATTTGGGCCGGAGCTGAGAAGAAACAGACATCTTTGTTGGGAAACTCTCTAGTGGAGCGGTGCAGAGAAGTAATGGACACCTCTGCTGGGAAACTGTTTGTAGAGTTGATTGAAGCCCAGGATACCTTCCCTTAACAGCTGTGGGTATAACCTTATTTCTGACAGTCAGCATACATTTTTCTTCAGAGCTCTAGGTATCCAGGATAACTTCCTTCCACAATCTGGTATAGCCTGACTTCCCTATAGTCAGGATTCCTTTCTCCTCACAGCTGTAGGTAACCAGGATACCTTCTTTTCACTGTGTAGATATAGCCTGACTTCTGACAGTCAAGGGACCTTTCTCTTTAGAGCTGTAGGTATCTAGGATACCTTACCTACACAGCTTCAGGTATAACCTGACTTTCCAATATAGTACCTTTCTCTTAATAGCTGTAGGTACTTTCCCTTCACAGCTGTAGGTAAAGTTTAACACACACACACCCTAGCCTGTAACATACTGAATTTACATGATAATGTAACCCTTTTAGATTTTATACTTCAATTATATAAAATAACCAATTCAGATATAAAACTTTATGGGTTTGTATTAGTTCCTTTTCTGTTGTTGTGATATAATGCCTGTCAACTTATAAAAGAGTTTAATTTAACCCTAGGTTCCAGAGGGATACAGGACTCCATGAGAGTGGCATGACAACAAGTGTCAAACATGGCAGCTAAAGCAGGAGGCTAAGAACTCACATCCTTAACCTGTAGTATAAAGCAGAGAATGGGAACTGTAAATAGTGTGTGGATGTAAACTCTCAAAGCCTATGCTCCCAATGATATATTTCCTCCAGCAGCCCAACATTTTCTAAATCTTCCCAAGTGATACCACCAACTTAGAAGGATTGATTTCTCTGACTTCAAGCCTACATGCTTACTTTCTGTTACATGAACCAATTCATGATGAAGAAAAACTCTGTAAGTAAGCCGTTATGTGCCTCAATACCTGTTATAGGAATGAATGCTTGCAAAAGAAAAACTTTCATGAGTGAAAATTTGCTTAAAGAGTTGTTTTAATTATGTGATGCTTGTGTTTATATGGGAATGTAAATGTACATGCAGGTTCCTGAGAACGTTAGACCCTTGGATCTTGTAGCAGGAATTACAGGAAGTTGTTAAAAATCAGACCTTGGTCCTGGGAATGAATATATCTTAACTGTCCATCCATGTCTCTAGCACTGTAAATATTTTAAAGCCTATTTATATCATTGTGAAGTGAGGAAATAGGGACAAACTCATACAAGAGAAAAATCCTATTCATGTAAAGGATTTGGTAAAGACTTCAGACCTCACAATTGTCTTCAGCTTCAAGAAAAAAAAAATCTTGTTCCATTTCTTTTTCATGGTAGCCTTGAAGGAAATAAAGTAAGTGTGTCTGTGAAAGGGTGGTGGGTTGTTGTTCCTGGTTTTGTTTTTCGGATTTTCAGAAATTCCCTTGAGATTTTGTTGTTTGTTATTCAGCCTGGCTTGGATTTCTGTAATGATTTAGGGATACACTTGGACTCAATGATCCTCGTGTGTTTGCCTCCTGAGTACAAGTCAAAGGGTAGATGGTATACTGTACCCAATATGTGCTGTTTTGTAAACACAATTTAAAAATGTTAATGTTAAGATGCTTAATTTAAGAGAATAGAAGAAACATTAAATACCTTATGTGTATTCAAAGCAGTATTTTCATTTATATATATATATAATGTTCCATGCATTCACCCTTCCCCAGAAGTTCCCATTTGCCATTTCATCTTGAAGTACTGCCTTCTAAGGGAATTATCTAGAGATGCCACATAATACAATGGCACTAAAGTTTATTTTTTTAACAAAGGTTTATGGGGTGTGTGTATGATGTGATTATTGATTTCCAGGCCATTGCAGATATGTGGAGACCAGAATACATCTTTGTGGTGTCTATTTTTAGACCTCTTTATATAGTGATCAAGGTCAGGTTTCCAGCCTTGCACAGCACAGAGCCATCTCACTGGTGCTCAAATAAGATTAGTATAAATATTACAACAGTAAACTATTTTCAGATTATAAACATAATTTTATACAAGGATAGAGGAACATAGGACAATTTGAAGAGTAAGTTTTTATTCTGGGAACGAAATGTTTGTTTATAACACTTTCTCAGGACCACAAATGAATGTGAGATAATTGCTTCATTCAGTAAAGTTTGTTGCTGCTAAGTATGATGACCTGAGTTCTGTCTCTGGATGACCCATATTACTCCTGCATTTTTTTCTCTTATTTCTCTACTTGGGCAGTGGCATATGAACATTTCTACATCGGCACATACATAGTTGTTAAACCTAAATAAGTGCCATTGAGGTCACTTGCAGCCAAATGACTCCCAAAGGTTCATCACTGGAACTCACACAGGGGAAGTAGATAATAAACAGCCCTATGTTGTCCTCTCAGGGCTGCACACACATCATGGTGCAGGTGTATACACAGAAACAATTCAAACCTGTTTTTTAGTGAATGAAATTAACAAGGCAAAGAAAATAACCCAATTATTGAGAACATGCGAAATGATTTTCCTTTTAAATTATAGAATTTCAAGAAATATTACTATTCATCGAAACAATGATGGTCCCTTTTTAAACCTTATTTTATCCTTTCATTCTCTCAATCAATGATAGGTCATTTAAAAACATCTCAGCTGGACTTAAGAGGTGCATAGTTATAATCCCAGCACTTAGGAGAGAGTATCTGGTCAATCTCTGTGAGTCTGAGGCCAGCTTGGTCCCCATAATGAATTCCAGGGCAGCCATGACTATGTAGACATATCGTGTCTCAAAAAATATCCAAAAACAAGAATTGTATCTCAAATTAGAGAACTTTTCCTAATATAATGTGGCTGGACTATGCCTGGTTTCAATAAAACCTTTTGTAATCTTAACTCACATCAAGAGAACTGTGTTAACAAACAATGAAAATCAGAAACAATATAGAAAGTCCATTCACAGAGGTACGAAAATCCATTGAATCATTTGACAATCATCTAGTGGTGACTTTCATCACCTTCAAGTGTTAGGAGACAGAAAGAACAGTAGGACATCTTCATCTTCAGAATCATAATAATATATTTGGGACCCAGAGAGTTGGCTCAGTAGTACTGCTTCTCTTGGGTACCAAAGTTTGTTTTCTAGTACCCACATCAGATTGACCAGAACTACCTGTATTTCCAGGTCCTGGAGATCTGGTGCAATCTTCTGGTCAACAAAAAATAATTGCAAAAATAAATACATCACCCTTGTCCCCCCCCATCAATATTAGACTAATAAAAATTTTCTTGTCATAAAAAACTAGTGTCTTTAATAAATGGTAATTCCTATCTAGATACCATTAAGCTAATGATACCAAAATCCCAATATCAGCCACTTGATCAAACCCATCTCAAAGATTTGAGATAATACACTACTCTAAAACAACAACAACAAAAAATGTTAAAAAGACACATGGGAGTCTTAAGCCACGACAGCCATGAGGTTCTACCTGAGTGGGGGAGTGTGGACCTGGAAATTCCTAGCAACCCAGTGGCGATAAAGACCAGACACAGGTATCTTGTTATCTTAAGCTCTCAGTTCCATGTTGTAATACTAGAGTCTTTTCTTTATTTTCCATCTTTACGACTGTTTCTTAACCATCCTGCCCTAGCTGCCAGGAGACCATTTCTTTCCTCTCTCCTCTCTGCTAGCTGGCTCCTAACCCTCCATCCTCACATGTTACTCACACATCTAGCCCCCTGCCCAGGTGCAGACCTGTTCAGATGCTTAGGCGAAAAGAGATGCAAATTAGGAGGCATATTACCCTGAGGCCATGGTAAACAATAGTAGCCCTATTGGCATTAACAATACAATAGTGGGCAGGAGCTTTCCTGTGCTCCTGTTTACTGAAGCTGGAGGCTGGGCCTCAAAATATTTCATAATGGAACTATTTGGTCCCCCACAATACCTCTCTCTTAAATTAATAAAAAGAAACCTGTGCTTCTGCATCAGGACAGATGACTGTGCCTGTCTTAGGACATTCCCTTCAACCTACCAGGGGTGCCCGTCATGGAATCACGCATTTCGTCATGCGTGTTCTGTCTTAGGATTCCCTGAAGGCAAGGAAAACCGTACCCATCTCTGGCTGGAAACAGTCTCTGTAAAACAAATAAGGTTAGTGGGGGATGGGTCATGGTCCAGCTTCAAGCATTCCTGAATCAGCAAGAAACCTCCAGGAGAATAGCACCTGAGCTCTCATGGCTGCAAACGTTCTCCTTTGGGGTGGAGACATATAAAGGTTAAAATGGCCTTTTAAAATCTGCATGGCAATGCCTCTAGTGCCTCTGATATGGACCTTATTAAAGTCTGCTCCCTAAAACATACTTCTATCCTAAGGCTTGTAAATTACACGTTACATTCCTGTTAGAATGAACTCTGACTTCTAGTTTCTAATAACATTTGCATAACACATATAGAAGATCACAGACATTAACAATTCCAACATACATTAGGGTGAGTTACAATACCATCAAAAGACGGTAAGATATTCTCACCATCTGTAGGGTGTGAACAATTTCACAATTCTAAACCTTTTTTCTTTATTCCTGCCTGGGACTCAATGCCCCTTGAACCTTTCTATTTCTTACTCAAAGTCTGAAGTTCTAACATCAGGTTTGTAATATCAGTCTTTGAAAGTTAACTAAAAAGTCTTTTGTCCATGTCTTGTTTAAGCATTCTGCAGGAGCTTCTGCCACTCTGGTTTATGCCAGTATCCGACTGTCCTAAATGGGTCCTTTTTCTCACGGGAAAACTGGCAAAACAGTTTTGTGTGTCGACAAAAGAAAGCAAGCTGTTTTTTGTCAAGTTCTTAGTCTGCTCCTGGATGAGCACTCATGGATTCAGAGAGGTAAATGTAGTCCGTCTGTAGGGAAGCTGGGATTATGGAAAGCACCTCAAAACTGGAAATGGGTGTGTCTCCTTTCTTCCTCCGGCCATAGGTCGGATGCCCTCAAAGTTCAGGAACACAGGTTTGGTATTTCATTCCAGCTGGTTCAGACGGTCTCCTAAGGCCTCAGATCCAATTCCTGTCTGCTCCATGTATCTCATCAACTGCTCCAGCAGCCAGCGTACCTCATTCTCCACCTTCGAGAAAACACAGACATGCCCTCGACCCCAAATAATTATGGGGTCTGGTCCCCTCTATTCATCTCTCCATTTGACCTGAGCGAAATTCACTCGAGTTCTGTCATGCCGGAATCTGTCTGCAACAGATTGCTTACTGGCATCCACATTTTAAAAGTTTAAGATAAACAGTGTGTTCTTTAATGAACCATGTGGAGACTGGGGACACAGCTCCCCCTTTGATCTTAGAAGCTGTGTTTTTAGGGCACTATGGGCCTGCTCTGTTATTCCTTGTCCTTGGGGATATATAAGGAATACATGTTTTTTAATCAATTTTCCATTGAGCACAAAATTGCTGGAAATCTTTGCTAGTATATCCAGATCCATTATTTGTTTTTATAACTTTTGGCATTCCCATGTAAGCAAAACATCTTAAACAGTGACTTATAACATGTCTGGTGGCTTTTCCTGTTTGTGAAGTGGCCATTAAGAAACCTGAGTATGTGTCAATTGCCACGTGCACATTTTTAACTTGCCAAACTCTGTGATGTGAGTCACATCCATTCGCCATAAATGGTTGGGGAGCAGGCCTTGCGGATTCACCCTTAAATTAGCCATATTGTGGACATATTCCATATTGTTTGATGATTTGACCAGCAGTCTCTCTGGTTAACCCAAATTGCTTTCTTAGACTTTTGCTATTTTGATGAAGAAAGTTACAAGACTGTCGAGCTTTCTCTATTTAAGGCAAATCAACCAATTTTGTTAATCAGTTAACTCATTCCATTTGGCTAGTAATCAGGGAAAGGCCTATTTAATAGGTTCCCAGTGTGACCCATAAATCATGGTAATTCTCTTAGGTGAATAATATTTTGGATTTGCTCAAATAATTTTCTAACCTGACTATTATTGGATCCTATGTATGGAACTATATTTACCTTATAAGCCTTAAAGACATAGTGACTGTCAGTGTACAAATTAAATGAATTATTTATTAGGATCTGAAACACCATTGTAACAGCTTGAAATTTGACTATCTGAGCTGAAGCCAGAGCTGTCTGCTCTACCTATTTCTTTTTATCAATAACATATGTTAGCAACTCTCTTATTAGAAACATCAGTAAAAACATGGCATATTTTTACAGGACTGTTTTTTACAATTTTGGAAATACAAAAGGATGCATTAGTGTAAATTGCAATACTCCATGAGCTAGAAACTGATTATCGATTCTTCCTGAAAACTGAGCAAAGGCAATCGCCCATGAATCATTGTTCTGAAACAACCAATTAAACTTTTGCTTGGCGTAGGGACATGTATCATATTTGGTTCTTTCCTAAAATACTTCCTAGAATCCATATGGCATTTCTGTACCATGTAGGCTATTGTTTTAAAATAAGGGTTTAATACTTAGGCTGGCAAGACAGGTAGGCATAACCATCGTAATGGTTCTTTCTGCCACAGAACAGAAGTCGGCCTATGCTTTGTGTGGAGCACATAAGCTTCCTATGGTTTTGTATAGTCAATATATCTGATGATGCTGAATCGCCTCC